GTCCCAAATATCTAATGGAGAAAGATCCTTGTGTAAATCCAGTAATCTCCACGAGTTGGTTATTCGCTTGTTTATTCATTCCTGCTAAGAAAAGGCTAGATTTTTTCATGTTGGACACAAGTCCAGTAATAACACTAAAGTGAACTAATGTTTCCATGACTTTGGTAACAAATTTGACATCTCATTTACAGAAGGTCATTTGATGATCTACAAAGACAAGGTGGTTCAGCCTAAAAGCTTTACACATAGGTGAAATTTGAAATCTGATAGATAGGTCATGCTCTTGAGCAGCGTTGATAGGTACTCCATAATTAGTACAAAGAGTAGAGGGAGGACATGGTATCCTTGTCTCAATCCTCTATTTCCATTGAAGTAACCATAACCTTCTCCATTGATCTTAAAAGTGAACTTTGTTGTTACCATTATCCATTTAATGACACTTTCTGAAATCAAAATCTTCTCAGAGCTTCCTCCAAAAATTCCCAGCTCACCATGTCATATGCTTTCCTGAGGTCTATCTCCACCAAGCATCTAGGAGTAGTCTTTCTGTTATAATGTCTCAACATATTATGAAATATCAAGATATTAAGTACCATTGATCTTCCTTACACAAATATAGCTTGATTCTCAGCTACTAGATGACTCACAACATATTTTAGTCTACTACAAATCATATTTTGAGATACATTTGTATATTACATTACAACATGCAATTGGTCTAATCTGCATGCAATTGCATTTCATTTTGTTCTTTAAATATTTTCATAAATTAAGTAAGTGTTTTATAACCTAAACTTCAATATTCTTTTATTATAAAATAAAATTTAAAATATTTTTTAATTGTTGCAAATTTATAATTTTTGGTTATTTTGTTTGAACTTTTTCATAAACCCCCCTCTGGCCAGGTAAGATGAAATAATGATTTGAATCACCTAGGAGGAAATATTGAAGTTTTATTTAGACAAATAATTTGAATATTAAAATTATATATTTTTGTACACATAAACATAAAATTACATAAATTGTGAAATATATCAAAACTATTCAAATTGGTGACAAAAGTATCATACATCCGTCAAACTACCTTTCTTGCTGTCTAATAAAATTGAAAGGAATATCATTAGTAACTTTATTGTAAGCCAATCCAAACACTCTTTCATGTATTTTCCCTTTTAAGAAGACTATAGTGTAGTCTACAACTGAACAGTCTCTCTGAGCAACTGATCGTACTGAGCCATGTCTTACATTCCACCACACAAGAGGCACACAAAGGGTTCGCCGTCGCTGGAACCAACTCCCGCACCGGAATCCCTCATACCTGCTTTCAGAAAAAACCTTAATTTCAAGAGAAAGGAAAAGTTTCTGTTTGAGACCCGTTATGCTGATGGTGCAGTTAGGAAATGGTTCCCTGTTGGTTTGACTGATGATTCTCACTTTTCATCTCTTGTGAAGCTCCAACCTCTTTCTATCGACCAAAAATCTGACGCAAATCCTCTTCGTTTGGTCCTAATGCAAGGTATTACTACTTTTTTGTTCTTTTGATAAATGCTTCTGATTTTCTTGAGTTTGGTAGATCAGGGTTTCAAACAATGTAAAATCTTTTTTCTCTGTTTTTGAGATCTTAATTCTGTAATATATCTACTTTTTTAGGTTGCAGTGGAGGAACAAATGAGCTTATGGATGAGCCATGGCGTTTGGGGGCTAATAGTATGATGGAGGACTTACTTTTGTCATTTCAACATGTGAAATGTGAAATGGAGAAATCTAATATGGAAGAATTGAAGCTGAATCTAGTTGCTCGTTTTGGAAGAATTCTGTTTCATGGGTTAGTAATGTTCATTTCTCATAATCAGTTTTATTCAAATCCATTTTATTATAGTACACAATTTTTTGTCTTGTAAGGCAAATTAGAACTTACCTAAAACTACAAGTTCTGTAAATCGCTGACTTATTTTACTGTGACATGTAACTCTTTTAACTTTTCTCCTAGATGTTATAATGTTTCTTCTTTTGTTGAGTCGATTAAATCCAGTGTGTGTTTAACATGTAATCCTCCTCAAATTCTGTCTTGTAGGATTTCTGCAAAAAGTCAAGAATCCCTGAAAAGTAACCTATTAAGTGAGACTACGTTGAGGCAAATGAAAAAAACTTTCTATACCAATGTTCCTCTTTCATATATGGAATATATACGAAACCTTGCAGTTGAAAAACTTGCCTTAGAATGTGTGGAAGAGAAGGAATTATACTATGTCAAGGTAATATTTTCATGTTTCTAACAAATTTCTTTCTCTTTATGTGTTGGTTCTTTTAGTACTATCCCTTGTGCTTTGTAGCTTTCAGACAACATGCACGCTGATTCAATTGTCACCTGCAAATGTACGGTGGTCAAGGATCAGGAGAAAATTCAGCTCCATAAGGTTAGTCCTCTGTTCCCCGGTTCTTAATGAACTTGTAAGATGCCCAATTAACTGTTTATTTTCCAACTAGCAAAACAACATTAATTGTTGTCATGAACATATTTACCTCCTCTTTCTTACCTATCTTTTTGCATGCTTTACTTCTTGCAGTTTGTCATTCCTTATCAATCTTCTGATGCTACGCCTTTTCTTTTAGATTGAGCTGAACCAAATACGCAACATGGTTGCAGACATGAGCTGTTTTGGCAAAAGCTTAGACCTGAGGTTGATGTTACATACCAAGAAAATCATGATGGGTTCATCTGTAAGTTACTTCATTTTGGATCAAATATCTTGAAAGTCATAGGTCGTATACTCATATTTGTAAGTTCCACCCAATTTTTGGATTTATATTTTCCGAAACTGGAAACATCTCCATTTAATTACTCTTGGTTGAAATTTCTTGTTTTTTCATGTTTCGTGGATTTGGGGTCGGATTAGATGTTTGTGAACAGCAAAGTGAATAGCCTATTGGGCTGACCATATGAACTCCAGTAGGGTTAAGATGCTCAAATACTGCGTGTTATTGGAGTCCTCTAGTTACTGGATTGAGCTAGATATGAATCATTTCTACAATGAAATCCAAAGGAGGGTAAGTAGAAGAGAAAAAAAGGAAAAGGATACAGAGGCAAAAAGTAGAAATGAAGATATTCTTCATATGCATTCAGTGTTAGTGTGGTTACTTAATGAGTTTGATTTTCATTGGGATCTCAAAGTAGCTACCCTTATCTTAATAAGATTTAAGGGCTTCGAAAACCCAACCAAAGGTGAAGTTACACACCAAGTAATCAGACTTCCTTTAGTTGGAAAATGAGGTATCCTTTGATGTTTCTTCTAGTCTAATGCCTTTAAATTGTCCGGTCATATAGTACCAGGGATGATACTTTTGATAGTTACATTGGCAAGTACAGGTATTAACAAAACCTATAGATTTTAGAGTACCGGTGAATTTTGTCTGCACTTTTAATGTCCATATTTTACCTCCACTCCAGTGAACAAGGACCTTTTCCTGTGTAACTTATTTTATATGCACGTTAATTTCCATCTTCTCATCATGACTTCTGCACTCTCAACTGAAAGGACACCGGTAGTGTTATCTCTATAGCTTAAGAATGTGTTCTTATATAGATTACTCTCTGCTTTTTTCCAGGATGATGAGATCAATGAAATTAAAAATCTTATTGGTTCTGCCGTTTTAGACTCAGAAGTTAAGGGTGGGTTGAGATGGCCCTTTGGCGAGGATTCTTCAGGGAGTCAATATGCTGTTACCGGTGTCTGGCACACAACTGCAAAATCATATGGAAATTCGTCAAATCTGGCACACAACTGTAAAATCATATGGAAATTTGTCAATTAGGTTTAAGCTTAGACGTGCAGATCGATTTGATTTCAGATCTTCAACTGGTGAGGTTGCACAGGAAGCTAACCTGAAAATGCCTGGGATTTTATCCCAATTGCAGGTAGGTTTTCTTTTCCTGATGAGCAATTATGTATATTTCTGTTGGTAATACATTTGGATCCAGTTCAGTTAAAATTTTATCACTGGTTCATTTCTGTCGGAAAATTATCCAACTTTTTGTATGTATTCAAAGAATTTACATTAAAAAAGTTATAATTCAGATTTACAGTAGTTCATGTTAGCGAATGGTTTCATAACTGGCATGTGCTAAGGATATAAAAACAAGACCATGCAGTGTCTCTTCATTGTTGAATTGATAAGCCTTTCTGTTTTGTTCCTTCCCTACTGAAATAATTAAGTTAATTATATTTTCTTACCGAAAATGCAGGAGCAAACGATTGATGAAAAGCTGGTGCTTAAAATGCTTGAAGACAACTTGAAGTTAATATGGGATCACTGTTTGTCTGATGGTTCTTCAAGCTGTTCATGATTCATGGTCCTTCACATTTGTTTTGCAGAAACTGCTCGATTCACAAGCTATGTTTGGTTGGTGAAGAAAGTTTACCTTTTGTATTTTGTGCCTGGTGGAATGTATAGATGTAGATAACTGGATTTTTGAACCCAAAACACTGAAGTGTATTTTGCACAATGTAGATTGTGTATGGAATGAAATGAATCAAGGCCTCTGATGTTAGTGGCATCAGTAGATTGTAAATAGTTGTGTTGTGTTAACAATGTAATGGATCGAACGTTCATATTTGATTTTGCATTCTGGAAATACACTAGGTATTCCTCAAATTGTGTGCTCTTGATTTTTTTTGTTCCTGGTAAGAAGTCTTTAAAGACTAATCTTTCTTCCTTTCTATGTATGGAGATCAAATGTTTTTAAACAACTCTCCATGCTCATTTTTCTCTTAATTTCTATCATCTTTTGCTAATGAACAGAAAAATGGGTAATCCGCAAAGAGGATCTTAGAGAAATAGTGCAAAGCGTGGCCCCATAAGGCATAAGTTATTATTTAAACTCCATGGGCCAAATATTGGAAACTATAACCACATTAAATCTTGGCAGAGACTCAAGCAGAAGAAGAAGATACAAAAATATGCATATTTTAATTTATACAAGAATGGGTATATACATCGAATTCCAGTAAATACATAGTAAACAAAATTTTAATCGGATAAGGAGAATCAAGAGTGTTTTTCTGTACAACAGACAACAACAATGGATCATTCTTATCATAAATTTACACCACCATAACACAACAAATCACAAATGTTCTCAAGAACCAAAATGTGGTTTCACAAACAGGAAGCAGCTTTGCTAGCTGCACATCATCGAGCTAAAAAAAATCATAGTGTGTTTCTCCCAACAGAATAACTAAGCATTCAAAATCTCAGATATTTTGATGTTAAGTTTCAGACAGGAATGACATGACCAACTGAATGTGATCTCTTTAATACAGGTAATGCACTTTGCTCCGCGGCTTTCTAAAACAGAAAGACAAGTTAGAATGAACTTTTCTATAGTGTGATTTACTATATTGTACGTGTGTTTTTTACATACCTTATCAGACAATGTGTTTTTCAAGACTTTCTCCATCTCCTCAACGACAACCTCTATAGTTGGACGGCCTTTGCTTGATTTGGCAACACAGAGCACTGCAATTTGAAGTATGGACTCGAAATCCACACTGTTTACTTCACCTTTTAGTTGCGGGTCCTCAAACTCTTTTAGTTCACGTTTACCCATGCTCACATCCTTTGCCTGATTAACGGTAGCTTTTGGTTAATTATCACTGCTAATTTATTCTATAAGCTTAAAAAATTGAGCTTGGGAGAGCATACTTTTCTTGTTAGTTGGTCTCTGGCATCCAAATCAAGTTCAATCACTTTCTGACCAGAAAGAACCTGTAAAGCTACTATACCAAAGCTGTACACGTCACTTGCACAGGTCAACTTCGCGTTACTCATATATTCTGGATCCATATAACCTATCGTCCCTCGTACATCTGTGAACACTTTGCTCTCTTCCATTCCCAACATCTTTGCCAGTCCAAAATCTGATAGCTTTGCTTCCAAATCCTCTGTTAAAAGGATATTTGTAAGCTGCACACGTCGTAATTCACAAAAAAACAAAGTAAATAGATATTGATCATAAGAAATACAATTCAGGAGAAATGATTTACTAGCTGATACCTTAATATCTCTATGAACAATGAATCCATCTATGTAGCTGTGGAGATACCTCAATGCAAGTGCACAATCTCTTAAGATTTTTACCCTTTGTTCCCAACTTAAGACCCTCTCTTTCCCTAAAAGATTTTTAACACATTGATTAGTAAGGGTGATTACGATCGATCTTGAAAAATTACTCTACTCTCTACTTACTCAGAAGATGTTGAGCTAGATTTCCAGCACAGCAATACTCGTAGACTAAATATTGTTCACCGTTTTCAATGCAACACCCAAAGAGGCAAACAAGATTAGGATGTCTGACTCTGGAAAGATTCTCGAGTTCTCTACTGAAGGAATCGGAAGTGTTACTTCTATATATCTGCTTGATAGCAACTACTTGTCCACTGGGAAGAACCCCTTTGAAAACTTTCCCTGCACTACCGCGTCCCAGGAATTTCTTCTCATCTATATTATTTATCGCGTTCTCAATCTCAGCTTTTGAGAAAGTATATAGCCCTGGACAAGAAGCAAACATCTTTGGCTTCGAAAGAAGAAGCTTTCGTCCAGCCCTAGCATTTCTTGTTACATACTTAACAAGAAAGATCGCCATCATCATCACAAATATTGCTAAAACAATTGCAACTAATGCTTTCGCCAAAGAATCTGCATTTTATTTAGTCAATTAGTTAGTATAAGATTATGAAACAATTAGTGCTACGGCTACTTTGTTGAAATCTCATACTTACATTTGATTTTAATGTAATCTTCACTTGACTTATCTGTACAAAGAAAGATATTAGTAAACATTGTAATTAATTAAAACTAATGTCATTAATTTCCTCACCTAAAGTATTCAGCCCTGGCAAACATCTGAAGAAATCGTCGATTAAAGAGGGATCGTTTAATTTTGTGGTAGTAACTGAAATGACAACAGCCACAATACAAATAGCTCTCTCTGTTTCATTATCATTCGCATTAAACTGATGGAGGAAATGATCCCTGGCAGACTTGATGGCACTCGTGCAATCCTTGCAAGCATGGTCGAAGTTGGAGGAAGTGAAACTTGAACAGTTATCCCTGACATCCTTAAAATTGTGATCCTGCAAAATACTTGTCAAAGAAAGGGTAGAACATTGGCTGCTTTGTTGATAGAGGGAATTAAGTCCACATTTATCGATGGAAACAGAGGGCTGGTGCTCAAAGGATCCAGAGGCACAACGTCCCCATTGATCTTTATGGAGGAAGAGGTTCCCTTGTTGAATTGCTTGCTTGGCTAATGCCTGTGTGAAGAAGTTGAGGGCATTTTGGCAGCATCTTGTGGTGGGGAAACTGTCCCATTCATGGATGATTTCTTGATCAATAGCAATGCATTCACCGCTTGGTTTGTATGGAGATGAAGTGAAGTTCAGCCCACAATCTGCACATTTAAGAACAGGACATCGAAACTATCTACTCCAAATAAATGAATTAATAGCTAGAAAGTCGAGTTAATGATCAAATTTACATAGCAAACACCTCATCACCACAAAAATAAGAATAAAAGATAGAGTTTAATAGACTTTCATGAAATCAAATACTTAAGGGAGCAGAGGACAATTATTAAGCTTGAAAACAGTCATATAAACAATTAAACATTGAACATAATGTAGCCAAGTTTTGAATTAGTCAACTTAACAAGGTGTTCTTGGCATTAACATCCTAGATAGTGTGTTATCACATAAAAAAAAAAGCCAAAAATTAGTCAATTACCAATTCTCTCATATTTCCCTTAAGGAACAAGATGGGTTAAACTCTCAGTGGAGGGAATACATCGAGGATTGGTCAAAAATGAGCCCAAATATAGGTAACCCATCCAGAATTTTATGGATTTGGCTCAAGATAATTTAAATCAGGTCATTCTTAACTCACTCAAGTCTTTCAGAGAAGGAAAAATTACCTAAATACATAATTTATTTTATTATATTCTCTAAAATTCTCTATCATTTGAAAAAATTACAAAAGAATCTTTAATTGAGCTCAATTAAATCTCTAATTTCAATCCGTTTTAAGACTTTTTATTTGCATGGATGTAATGTATGTTCATACATTGAAGGTATGAATTACAATCTATTTCATATCTTCTAGCATTTATTTATCCATTTGTAACTTCTTCTTTTTTTAATTTTCTTGAGTTGAAATTTAAACTATGGTTATAAAAGTTAAATAACAATATATTAAAATTATCGAGATTAATCGGGTCAAATTGAGTGGGTCATGACCCAACCCGATTTTTAGCCTATTTGAGCTCAAAGTAAACTTGTGCGGGTTATGACCCAACTCGATTTCTATTTCAAGTTATTTTAATATCTCAAATTTCAACTCAACCCGCCTATTTGACACCCCTAGTTAAACTGGTAGGTTCCTAAAGAAATCATGAATTTAACATTGGGTGAATTATTTGATTCCGAGTTTCTCACTTATTTTTCAGTCAAAATAAAGTGCAAATTTGTGCCAATACAATGATGATTATATTTATATAGAAAGTATAACGAGAGATATATTCAAGTTATTTTTGATAGCGCAGGGTAGTCCTGTTTATTTGAAGGGTTCATGTTATCATGACAAAAAAAAATATTTATTTATTTTGTCATGTCAATTTTTTTTCTTTTTAATGATAAATTTGATTGAATGATTTTGAAAAATAAAGTAGTAACTTTATGATTTTATTGATACAAAATAAAATTCAAATACTTTGGTATATAAATTTCCACGATTGAGTGAACTTTTGATATATTAACTCCAAGAAAGTTTGGTTACTATTCCTTTTTTCAATTCATATTACTTACTTTTTCTTTTTTTTCTCAATACTTAAAAAAAATGACATATTTCTATATTTAAAACTTCATCCGTCCCAATTTGTGACACTTATCGGATTTCGAGATCCAAACAAATCTATCTTTGACTGTAAATTTTTCATACATCTTTTAAGTATTTTGAATTGTCAATTATTGTGACTTATAGTACTTTTGACGTAGTTTATAAATGTATAAATTTCATTTCAATTATTTTGAAAATTGCCGATCAAACTTAAATTGTTTAACTCTCGGAAAATGAAAAGTGTCACGTAAATTGGGACAGAGGAAGTAACAATTTAACTTTAAAATGTTAATTTTATTGTTAATGAAATGATTTCTAGCTATATAAACATCTATGATTTATTTTAGACCCTAAGTTGAAAAGTTTTTTTTCTTTCTGTTGTCAAGTCAAATTAACCCAAAAAAAAAAAAGTAATAAAAAAGTAAATTAACTCATATAAATTGAAATGAAGAAGTAAAAGAAGTCAAAGCAAATACCTGCGTCTTCTGGAGAAGGCGCGGTCAGATTAGCGAAAATAAGACATATTTGGAAAAAGAAGACTGCCTTGATGAGTACAACAGCCATCTCCCTCCCTTAATTGATGATACTTAATCAAGAAAAGCTGAAAATTAATGTTAACATATTAATTTTAAAGTTATAGTTAAAAGTTAGTAAAATCGTTTTTTTTTTTCGACACACAAGAAATTGTGATGATCATATATAGGTAAATTTTCCTCATTAGAATCGAAGAATATTGTATTAGATAGGATAATATTCTTTATTTTATTATTTATGTTACATAGTTATTCTCCGCGCACAACATCTTTGAAATGACTTTTTGTGCATAACAATATATTCCATCCGTCCCTAATTACTTGTCCACTTTTAAATTGACACATTTATTAAGAAAATGATGACTGAAGTGGATGAATTACTATTTTAAGATTTTCAAGACTTTTTTCTCAATTAATTAATTGAGTGTATAATAATTAATAGGTAAAACAAATTATCTTTTTTTGATTTGTCAAAATGGACAAGTAATTAAGAACCTAATTTACTTCTATGACATTTACGAAGTCCAAAGACCAATCGATGTGCCTTTATATTTTTTGGAGTGGAAAGTTACATTCATTGGAAAAGAAAGAAAATAATTGGAACAACAAAACTGTATAATGTGCTTGAAGTTATTCTACTTTACTTTGATAAGAAAGAAATTAAAACTAGTCGATATTATCAATTCAATTCATCAAAATTCTTACTAAAAAGTATGTCCAAACAGAAAAGACAAGGAGGTAGATAGAAACGGGATGTGCTTGGGCACCTAAGTACTTATATTCTTTTTCTTTCTTGTATATATGCAAGTAAATAATTTAGTTGGTTCGCGATTAGGGTCATTCTATGTCTATTCAATTATTTATGATGTTCAACTTCTCTCACCTTTCAATTCTCTCATGGTTATCTTATTTGTTATAATTCTAGACTTTGCGATAAGTAATTTTCATTTTGCAACAATATTAAATAGAGATGATCATTAAAATTATTTATTGGTATGAATATACCAATTTGGGAGGGGGGGGGGGGGGGGAAGGGGGGTGGCA